TTGGTCTAAGGGTTAAAGGAGAACTACGGGGGCAGGGCTTTTCCCCATAGTTCTCCTTAGGGTAACGAGAGGACACAAACTAGCGTCCTCCCGTCACCCTAGGCTCAGTATACTGCGAGCTGTAGCTCCCTGTATACTGAGACGCCGCGGCTGAAGCGGATGCCGGCAATTATGTCTGGATCCGCCCAGCTGCGTGAGTGACAGCTGGCTCTGCCTATCTAGAGGCAGAGCCAGCTGTACCCGCCCCCTCCCCCGTCCGTTCCGCCAGTCAGCGCTGGCGGATCGGAGCGGGGAATCCAGCCCCTCCACCTGTCACGGCAGAGAGCCGTGACAGGATTGAGAGGTGAGCGAACGCCGGTATGTGTTTGCTCACCTCCCGATCTACTGAGCCGACCTGTGACAGTCTCATTGTCACAGGTCGGCTAGAACTATGAGGTGAGTGAAAAGCACTCACCTCATAGTTCTCCTTTAAGTTTAGGGTTAGGATTAGGGTTAGCATTAGTGTTAGGTATAGGGTTAATGTTAGGATTAGGGTTGGTCTAAGGGTTACGTTTAGGGTTAGTGTCAGTGTTAGGTTTCGGGTTATTGTTAAGATCAGGGTTTGCATTAGGAATGGTTTTATTTTTCAACCAGGCCTTGGATCTAGGGCCGCCACCTTTTCTTCAAGCGGAACCCGAACACTCTAGCGATGCGCGGACATTTGTTGGAGAGAATGAGTCGTGGCTTAGTCATATGTAAATACATTAGGCCAGTAGCCACTATCTTAATTTTGGTTGCCCCTGTCTGCCTGACATCATGTGTCTGGGTTTTAGCTGCCATGAAACCCGAACACGGCATTCAAAACCCGAACTGTCCGGGTGAATCCTGGACAGGTGGCAACCCTACTTGGATCGCCACACCAACAAGTACATTTTTTGCTTACTTCTTGCTGTGTGGCGGCGACAGATGACTTTCAGGTCACGACTTCACAGTAAACGCCCTCTGAGCCGGCCCGGTACACATGTGACATCTTATCTCAGTGCCCACATGTGGCCAGACTCCACTATCTGATCTGACTACAAGACTAGAGGGTTAGGTTAGACAAATTCAGTTTGTGGTCACCTACAGACAGCACCCTCAGTAGAAGCTGATCGGAATGGAAATGTGTACTAAGGGCGATATGAAGGTTGCAGTTCCTGGTTTCTCTTTCAGAAAATGCTAATTTCCTGGCTGTCGTGTTGATCTAATGGAGTTATTAGAGACATGAGATATCATTTAAAGGAGAACTATTGAGTTAAGGCTTTTCCCCATAGTTCTCCTTAGGGTAACGGGAGGACACAAACTAGCGTCCTCCCATCACCCCAGCCTCAGTATACCGCGAGCTGTAGACCGCGGTATATTGAGACGCCGCAGCTGAAGCCGATCCCGACAATTGTGCCGGGATCCGCCCAGCTGCATGACTGACAGCTGGCTCTGCCTATCTAGAGGCAGAGCCAGCTGTACCCGCCCCCTCCCC